CTTGAGCTCCACATATCCCCATGGTATTGTTGTCGTCCCGTTGAAGCCCTGGAGGTCGGAGCCCAGGTAGGGGGACAAGTTGGACTCGTCAAGCTGGAGTGTTACGAAGAGGTGGGTTTACATGATGTCCACCGAGCTCCCTCCATCGACTAGGATGCGTCTGACGTTGAAGTTTGCCATATGCGCCCGTATCAGGAGGGGAATGTTCGAGTTGGGGGCCCCCCGCGGAGTTCCTCGAGGTAGAAAGTGATCGGATTAGACCGACCGCAGAACATGTTAAGCGTGCTCATCTTGCCAGAACTGTTGCTGATAAGCTCGTCGAATTTCCGCTTAACTGACCCTATGGATAGTTTGCTCGGGGTCCCTCCAGAGATGACCATTTCCCTCGGGAAGTATTCCCACCGGCTGGTGGGGCGCACTGGCTCCTCGGGTAGTTCAAGTTCGGCGGGGAGCCCAAACTCTCTGAGGTCAAACCAAACCTCGGGTCGACTAATGATGAGGGCAACCTGTAGGCCGGAGTCATTTTCGGGAGTAGGAAGGTCCTCGACTCTTTTAGCCTCGGAAGCATCTTATTGTGAGGGCTCTCCTTCCCGGGTGTACCTTTTCAGGTGCCCGTCCTTGATCAGAATTTTGATTGCATCCTTCAGGTGGATGCAATCCTCAGTTACGTGGTCGTGGCTTCGGTGGAAGCGGCAAAACTTTGACTTGTCCATGTTGGCTTTGGGGGGTGCCGCTTTTGGAAAACGGACACCTCCCTGTATGAATTATGTCTTGGCGCATTCGGCCAGTATGCGCTCGTGGGAAGCGACTAGGGCCGTGTACTCAGTGAAGCGGCCAGCTGGGCCACGCTGCTCTCGGGGGTGGTCATCTCACCGTCGGCCTCCCCCGCGCCAGTGGTTTGAGGCTCCGTCATCTCGGGACCCGTGGGGGTCTCTCTGTCCCTAGTGTCACAGGCGGAGTTGGCCGCCTGAGTCTCCTAGAATCGAATATAGTGTGCAGCTCTGTCGAGGAAGTCTTGGAGCGAGTTTGGCCGGTGGATGGCCACAGCCTCGTAGAGTTTAGAGTCTCGGTGCAGGCCTTGCTCCATAAGATAACGCTTCATCTCATCTGAAGTCATCACCGGCACCGCCTCTTTTGTGAATCTCTCGATGTAGTTCCGGAGAGGCTCGTCGGGGGTCTGGATGATCGCGCTCAGCGTGACTTCTGTCTTCGGGTGGCGCCTAAACACCGTTTAATGCCGTGAAAAGAGGTCTTTCAGGACCCTCCATGATGTGATGGACTCTGGTTCCAGGCTTTTATACCACACCATCGCACCTTTCCTCAATATAGTCGGGAAGAGCCTGCATTTGATGGCTCCTCGAACGTTGTAGTAATCGAGCATAGCCTCGATATCTTCCAGGTGGTCGTCTGGGTCCGAGGTCTCGTCGTATGTCGAGAGCACTGGTGGTTTCTCCATCCCGTGGGGAATGGGAGCCGCCATGATCTCCCGAGACAAGAGGGTCCTATAATCATCCTCGTCGCTCAAAATCGGGGATGGAGGAGGTGATGGCCCTTGTCGAGGAGGGGGTTGATTTCTTACCCTCGGTTGCCTGACCGGGGGGTCTGCCCTCATTGTCCTTGGCTCCTGGGCTCGCTTCTCCTTCCTGGTCGGTGACCTTGCCCATTTTTTGGAGGCCACAGATTGGGGCCTCTCCAACTGTGGTCGGCGACCTCTCGGACGAGGAGACAGACTCCTTGAGTTTCTGCTCTAGTCTTCCTGCAGAGGGGAACGGAAAGGGGCTTCGTGTTCCAACGCGCCAATACGCTCATTCTGCTGGAACAACATCTGATTTGTTTGGTTGATGGCTGCGAAGAGGGCAGCCATCGTCGGATCCAGTCTGGTTGGAGTGGGGATGGGCTGGAATACTTATGGGCTCCTCGCCCGAGGAACGACGTGGTGTGGTGCTTCCTCGGAAGAAGGGGAAGCAGTCTGGCCGTCCCTTGCATCGGTCTCCCAGAGCTGAGATGTTCCCACTTGGTTGCCGCCGTTGGAGGCGGGGGCGTGGGTTGCGACGTGAACAGCGTCGTTGTGGTGTGGACTAGTCATGATTCTGAGAAGTTTTAAGAGGTGAAAACTTTGGTTCGCTGCTCGGAGGAATGGGGAAGTTTATGTTTCCAACAGACGGCGCCACTGATCTGACCTAATTAGAAGGGAATCGACGGACCGCCATGCGCCTTTGATCTACGCCTGTTCACCGGTGGTAAGAAGGAGAAGGGGGTGTACCTGCAAGACACTCTGATACCAAAGTGAGAAAATGGACCAGAGTGAGAGCAAATACAGAAAGTAGGTTGAGAATTGAATACTTAACCCTCTAGTGAAAGAGGGTATTTATAGAGAGACCCCAGCGCAGGGCCAATGGTCATTTGAGTTGGGCTGGATGGCCAGGCCCAACCCAAGTGACTGCTAGGGCTTACGTGACGTAGTGAAGACCAGAACGTGGTCTTCGCCCTAGTTCAATTGTCTCATGATCTTCGGAAGGTGCGTTGACCAGCTCTTTCAGAGGTGGGCATTTGCATGATGACGTGTCCTCGCAGAGGGGAGCACGTGGAGAACGCGTGGAGGACACGTTATTCTTCCCGACAGAGGGAGTGTCCTGCCCATCGTGGGCAGTGTCTGGTTAACGGGGGCCTTATGCTCGACACAGGTGAGGAAAACCCCTTTGGGCCTTTCCTCAAATATTATTGGGCTGGGCCTTCCAAGTCAGGTCGGGGCCCAGGCCAGAACAACTAATTTATTTTCTAATTTTATTTTACAAAATTTTAAAAAAATAAAAATTTATTATAATTGTATTATAATTATAATAATATAATTATAATATTATTTTATATGATATTATAAATATTAGGTATGAGTTAATCCCCACACAACTAATTACCAATTTGTGTGGGATTAATCACCTCACAAATTACAAAACATTATTGTGTTTGCTAGGAGGTTAGCTCAAAGAAAATGTCTACAGACGGGCTAAGAGTTTTGCCCCTAATAAAAAAAAAATATAGACGCATTTGTTAGGGGCTTATCCTCGATCAAAATAGTGACATGACTGTGTCACTAGTCTGCTCTTACGCTTGCAGTTCAATAGGATGTAATTTTGTGAGAGTCCTATCCTCTAGCTAATTTTGCGAGGGTTTTAGAATGATAAATGTGTGAAGAATAAATTAAAAAATTATATTGATTTTTTTTATAAATATTTAAATTATTTTTAAAGAAAATAAGTAATTATGGAAAAATAAAACAAAAATAAAACAAAAATAAAAATCATCATCATTTTTTTTTAAAATTTGGAATTTAAATAAATACAACTTTAAATTGGATTTCTTTTGAGAATTTTTACTAAAATTGTTAAAGATACCAAAATTATATTCATAGTTTTTATAAAAAATTAATTATTTGAACAAATTTTAATTCCGTGTGTTTGGGCGGTTAGGGTCATGATTCCTGTGTGATTTGGTGTCTCACTTAAACCATTCTATTTTATCTTACTAACGAATACTTTGAGTCATCGACACTTTGACACACACTTTCATGAATTAATGATTTAAGCTTTAGTTTCAAAAAAACCTACTCAAACTTTCATGAATTAATGATTTAAACTTTCAGTAATTTCAACATCATTAACAATATCCCGTATACTTATAGAAATGGTTAAAATAGAGTGACTATTGTTGATACGTTGGTTAGGTGATGTGCAATTATGATATGCGGGTTTAAACACGTAAAATGAGAGATGACAAATAAACAATATTATACAATGTATGATTATAATGTCTATATTGATCATTACCAACCAAGTGCAAGATCATTAACATGTGTAATTCTTTTTGTGTCGACTTCATTGTCATGAGTTCCTTGAAAGTGTGATATTGGAGATCTCATATTTGTAAAATTTTGAAATGAAACTCTCCTCCGACTGCTCATAGTGCGAGATGTTTGAGCTTGTTTATCTTACTCTTTTCGCCGCCTATAATTGTCACATCATATCGATAAATAATTTTCTCTTTGCTCGATGTTCATATTTTGTCTCCTCTTCCTTTCATTTTTGGCCCTCTTGCCCTTTGTTGTTGACTTGATATCTGATGGATATTATTTTCTATTTTGTTAATGTAATTACCAAACACATATGCAATTTATAAGCAACATAATTTTACTATTTATGTTGAAAAATATTGGTAAATATAGACGGGATTTAAAATAAATATATTTTTTTTTGGAAAAACGAAGTTTACACCAAAAAGTATTATTTGTAAATCATATGTTAAAAATATAAATCAAAACTAAAATATAAAAAAGACGAAGAAGAAATGGAGAATCAATAAAAAGAAACATAAATTATGTTGGACAAATAGATGAAAAGATTGCATATTAACTAAATATTAAAATATAAAATGGGGTAAGAAATGAAATTAGTGTAATTTATGTTATAGATAAAAGATATATTAACATAAAATAAGAAAAGATAGTGTTATATTCCTTGTAGGTTCATAATAATATTTTTATATTACTCTAAATTATTTTATATTTTAATTAACTCATAATACTATCATTGAAGCCTTTTTCATTGATCAAAAGTAAATTTTCATCTTTTTATTAATTAGTACAAATATTTATGTATACTATGAGTGTTATAGAATATCATTTATTTAGTTCATTTTAGCACGCACACTTGTGATATAAAATATGCATATAATAGTTATTAGATAAATATGTTAACATATATATATATATATATATATATATATATATATATATATATATATATATATATATATATATATATATATATATATATATATATATATATATATATATATATATATATATATATATATATATATATATATATAAAATAATTTGATTAATATTAAAATTATATAGGATTGGTGATTTCAGTGTTGGTAGCCTCGGAAAAAATGGAGAATATGCTAAAGTAGAAGATATATATGTTAACAACTGAACTTTTATGAGAACTTCAAATGGAGCTAGAATCAAGACATGGGAGGTAAGTATAGATTGAACTTTTACGAGAACTTCAAATGGAGCTAGAATCAAGACATGTTATGCAATCCGAAAAAAGTTTATGTGATATATTTTTTATTTTATAAATTCATTTTATAGAGTTGAGTTAGGCTTGAATTAAAAATATTATATGATTTTATTTTTCAATTAGGGAGGAAAGGGATATGCTAGGAAGATCACATATGAAGATATTGAATTTAACGAAGTTAAGAATCCTATAATTATTGACCATACTTACAATCCTAAAATATATGATGATGACGATGGAAAAGGTGTGGCAGTGACTGATGTTATTTTTCGCAATCTACGTGAAACATCGACCGAAGATCCAATCCAACTAAAATGCAAGCCTAATATTAGTTGCATCAACATTGAACTTGATAATATTAACATTACTCGTATTGATAATGAAAAATCACATACGTCAGTATACTAATTAATGTCTTATTTATTTCTCAAAAATAACAATGTCAGTTTATTTTTATCTTGCGCTATGTAGCGCTTTTCTTATTTAAAATTAATAATATTCAATTGGTTTTTCTTGTAGCTATCTTTGTTACTATTGATTATTGCATCAAGATTATTATTTGTTTAAGAAACAAAGAAGAATGGAAGACTTGATTTTTAGAAATAATTATTATAATATTTGTTTACGTAAACTTTTATTAAATTAATGACCAACACATTTAAATCAGAATTTTACAAAAAATCTGATTCAAACCCATAACTTTACTTTCAATTTCTTGACAACTAAATCACTAGGACTTTGAACCTATACTATCTAATTTATATTTCTTACTATTTAAATCATATTTAATATTTTTTGCAATATTAATTTAAATATTAAAAAATATATATTAATAAGTATGTTTGACATAATATGTTAATTGTTTAACACACTACTTGAGATTTGACACAATATCACAGTCATATAACAGTGGTTTTCAACATAAATAAAAAAGTATAAATTTTTAAATATATTTTTTTATATATTTGTATTGTTTTATTAAAAAGACATTATAAATTTAAAAGCACTATAAACACAAAACTTCACGCATCTGAAACTCATTTAACCCATATGAACACAAGCATTCCTTCTTTTTCTTTTTCTTCTTGAAAAAGAAGGTTTCGATCCCGGTGCTTCTTGAAAAAGAAACATTGATCTTGATACAATGCAATTAATTGGTGATACTATTTCCAATATGGTGGACTCAGTGGTAGGAACTTGCGTTGTTTGCATTCCAACGCCCAAGTCAATTTATGATTTAAGATAGTGGATGCAAAAGTGAAAACTAAAGATTGTGTACCTTAGAACCCCTTACGAGGGTATTTATACCTTAGGTGTAGAGGAGAAGAAAAGATAATGATCCCTGTGCTATTAGACCTTTGGTTGGTGTAGAGCAATGAATCACAATTCTTTGGTCAGCACGGAGATGTGGGTCAAAAAATTATATGGGCATAAGTTCATGCAAAATTATTTCTATCTCCAATCTTAAAATGATTGCACAAGAAGATAGTCCTAACACCGAGGGAATTGATATTGCAGAATCGTCTAATGTCATCATTAAGGATTTAACAATCACAGCTGATCATTATAATAAATAATTTTACTTAGATTTCTTGAGTGTTATTTTGTTACTTTTGTTAGGTTGATTAAAGAGTTAAAAATGATAATAGATTAATTTTGTTTGATTTTCATCTTAATTTTTAATATTATTTCCAATATTTTTCAGGTGGCGATTGTGTTGCCATTAACACTAACTCTTCATTCATCAACATAACTGGTGCTTTTGTGGACCTGGTCATGGTAATAGGTTAACTAATTAATTAATTAATTAATTAATTATATATATATATATATATATATATATATATATATATATATATATATATATATATATATATATATATATTTGACTAATATTAAAATTATATGGGATTGGTGATTCTAGTATTGATAGCTTTAGAAAAATGGAGAATATGATAAAGTAGAAGATATATATGTTAAAAAATACACTTTTACGAGAACTTCAGATGGAGCCAGGATCAAGACATGCGAGGAGGTATGTATTAATTGAATCTAGTCGAACAAATGGATGACTATAGTAACAATATCGTAATAATGTTATTGATAATATCATATCATGTTATGTGATATGGAAATGGTTTATGTGATATTTTTTTATTTTTTTTATAAAGTAATTTTATAAAGTTGAGTTAGACTTGAATTTAAAATATTATAATTTTTTTTAAATAGTAAGGAAATGGATATGTGAGGAAGATCACATGCCAAGATATTGAATTTATCGAAGTCAAGAATCTTATAATTATTGATCAAAGTTATAATCCTAAAATATAAGACGACGTTGGCAAAGGTGTGTGAGTGAGTGATACTACTCTTTGCAACCAACGTAGAACTTTAACTAAAGATTCAATCTAACTAAAATGCAAATTTACCACCAGCTGCGTAAACATTGAACTTGATAATATTAACATTCCTCGTAATTATAAAAAAATCATATATGTAAGTATACTAATTAATGTATTATTTATTTTTCAAAATAATACTGTTAGTTTATTTTCATCTAGCACTATGTAGCACTTTTCTAATTTGTAATTAATGATATTAAGTTATCTTTGTTTCTATTGGTATATTGCATCTAGGTTATTATTGATTTAAGCAAAGAATAATGGAAGACATGATGTTTAGAAATAATTATTATAATATTTGTTTAAATAAATTTCTATTAATATATAATAACCAACTCATTTAAATTAAAATTTTACAGAAAATCAGATTCAAACCCATAAATTTAACCAAATTATCAGGATTTTGAACCCAGACTATCTAATTTACATTTCCTACTATTTAACTCATATTTTATATTTTTTTGAAATATTACTATATATATTAAATAATATATATTAATAAGTATGTTTGACCTAATATCTTAATTGTTTAGAATACTACGTGAGATTTGACAAATATATCGGTCATATAATACTATTTTTTAAAATAAATAAAAAACTTAAATTTACTTTTATATGTTTGTATTATTTTATTAAAAAAACATTATAAATTTAAATACGAAAAACAAAAATTCTAAATTTTATATATATATATATATATATATATATATATATATATATATATATATATATATATATATATATATATATATATATATATATATATATATATATATATATATATATATATATATATATATATATATATATATATATATATATATATATATATATATATATATATATATATATATATATATATATATATATATATATATATATATATATATATATATATATATATATATATATATATATATATATATATATATATATATATATATATATATATATATTAAACGCGAAACTTAACCGATCTGAAAACCACAAATCCATATGAACACAAACATTCATTCTTTCTCTTTTTCCCTTGAAAACTAAACACAAGAATTAAAAACTTTACCATTCTCATAATTTTTTGTTGTGCTATCATTTTCATTATTATTTTAGTTTTTTTTCTTAGAGTATATATCTTGTTCGGTGGATTCAAAGCTTTGTTCTTATTTACATAATAAATATCATTGGTGTTCCATTGCAGAACCATAAATGGTGATGATTGCAAAAACTATGATGAATCAGGGACTTCGATGCACTGTGTTGATACGACATTGTGGATCAAAGTTTACCATCATAGTTCTTCTTGAACAAGAAAGATTGATCTTGATACGATGCTATTAACCAATGATGTTATCTCTAATATGGTGGACTCAGTGGAAGAAACCTGCGTTGTTAGCATTTCAACACCCAAGTCAATTTAGGGTTCAAGATAGTGGATGTGAAAGTGAAGATTAGAGATTGTGTACCTTAGAACCCCTGTCACACCCTCATTTTCACCCTAATCCTAACCTTGCATATCATAGCATTTTCATCATATAGGCATCTCTATATTTCATAATCATTCATACTTTACTTTGGTTCTAAAAGCTTGGAATCAAGGCATATTGGGTTTCTTTAATCAAGGAAGAGGAGTTGATCTTTCAAATAAATAGTTAAGAAGATATTCTCAACACAATGGCTCTCTCAAGCTACAAGTTCCTCACACACCTCAAAGTGTTTCAACAAGGTTACATGTTCACCTAGCAACAAAGGTTTCAAGAGATTGAAGGTTGATAAATGCTTCTTTATTGTGGCTCATGACTATGGTTTCTTAGCAAAGCAAACTATGGTGGCTCATGACTAGACATCCATACAAGCATATTGTTTCATCACAAGTCATGTCAAAACCTCTCAAGTGCATAGAGGAGGTTTTGGATTCATTTGGCCAAAAGTCAACTGTTGCCTTCACAAAGGTAAAATCTTGGTATTCTAAGTCAAACATGAGCTTCTCAAGTCATCATTTATGATCTCATGAAGTTTAATCAAGAGAGTGAGTGGAATCATTTAATCAAGAAAAGTTACAAGGTTAGGGTTTAAATTTTTTTTCCAAGTCATGAAGAAACCCTAATTTGGCGTTGACTTGCCAAGGCCATAACTAACAATCTAGATATCAATTTTCCTTGATACAAAGATCAATTTGAAGAGCTTTTCCCATACTATAACTTTGTTAATGTGGGTAGATTGCCAAAAAGTTCCTGGATTTCAAGTTATGATAGCATAAAGTTGTGAAAAACAAGGTTTTGGAACTTTATACTTAGAATTTTTTTTCAAGTATGGAATTTCAACTTGGAGGATGAGTTTTGAAAGCTTTCTTTCTCTTAGTTCTAGGCTCAAATTAAATTTTCTTGCAACATGAAAGTTTTTTGGGCACCCTTCAAGGTTTCCATTGATGTAAAAAAACTCTTCCATTAGAATAATACAACTCAATATATGTGGTTCTAAAGTTAGGATGATCAAGATGTCCAACTTTCTGAGGTCAACTTCAAGTGCCTTTTCCATGGCCTTCCAAGTCTTAAATAAAATTCTTTTCAACATAAAGATTGACCCTCTTGTTTCAAGATTTCCATACGTTCCAAGAATTTATTCATTGGATTAATAAATCTCAAGTTATAGTCTTACAAAGATGTTGTTTCAAAGATGTCAAAAGTTCATAACTTAGAAAAATTTCTAAGTTTGCTTGGGACAGATTTTGGACACAATTCAACTCAATTTTCTTCATTGATCCAAGGCTTGTTTCATCTTACCATTAATATGAAATTTGTTCTTCTATCTACCTACTTGCCAATGAGCCAAAAGTATACAATTTGGATCAAGATCCATCAAGTTATAGCCATCCAAAGGGAGCTACATGGATTGAAATTCATGCACACCATGTTATGATATTTTCATGCACAACTTAAACCAATATTTGAAGCATGCCATTCTCACCAAGTCACACACCTCACACCTCTTTTCTTGCCAAAGAAAACT